GTTTTGAATTTTGAACGGAGAAAATTTGACTGACATCATTTGACCCAATATTTAATTGCAATATTTTTGGATATTTACATACATACCACGTTTTCCTCATGAATTTATACATGTATTTTTATGCACAAAAGTTTTATAAATGTAAATATCAAATTTCAGGTAGTACGTGCTATAAATGGATGGTATGTTTATAAATTACTCATTTTAAGCTTATATTTTTAAATGATTGTGACACAATAGTTATTTATCTATTTTTTAGTTCATTAAACAAAACAATTAAGAGGGATAAAACTCTTTATGATTTAGCTTAAAATTTCATCTTTATTGTGATTTAGCTCAAAATTTCATCTTCCTTATGCATGTAAATTTTCAATTTTGAGATATAAATATATAATAATTTTATAGATTAATAATAATAATAAAGGACAAAAAAAGCCTGTCGCTCGCATATATTTTTTTTAAATAAGAGTTTTTTTTTTGTATTTAGTTGATGAGTGAAATTAATATCATTAAATTTGAGCCATTTTAAATGTTTTTGTACAGAATAAAACCAACAAGAACTTATAACATAACCCTACTAAACGTAGGAAGCTATGAAACCATCACATTATTCAGAACTCGCGTTTTGACTTCAAGAGATCGAATGAGACCTTACACACGAAGCAAAAATACTTTTTAATTGTAAGAAATGAATAGTGATTATACCGGATAATTAAGAGAAAATATTCATGTATATAATACTAAAAAAGGTAAAATTGTAATGAGTTTTTTTATTAAATGCCATAATAGGCTGAAACAGAACTCAAGTTGGATGGTTGAAACAGAGGAATACATCGAGTCTCTTAAATGAAAGAAAAGTATTACTTTGACTTGAAGAAAATTTTAAAACATGGGGATAAGTCTTTTAGCGCTCTAAAAAGACTTAGGTATGTTATATAAAAAATAATCTTAATATATTAAAATTCAATGAATAATATGACGCTCTATAGGACGTATTAAAGAAAAAAAATATATATTTTTTTGCAGTGCTTACTACCAATTACATTCAATGTCTGGCCAAAGTCAGTGCTTGAATGTTGTGCTTTGCGACTTTGAATGTTGATCGTTGAGGAATCTTGATATGACTATTCCTTTATTACTATGCAAGCTCGAGCAGATATTCCTTTCGATTTCTTCGACTGTATGGAGCATTTACCCATACATCTGTGTTATCAGGCTATACTGGGGGGTCCGGTGCATTGTAGATGGATGCATCCCTTTCAAATGTATGTCTTCTTGATGTGTACAGTTACATTTTATATTTTAGTTTAGAGTAATCTGCTACCTTTTTTTTTTTATAATGACTCCATCATGCATATTTCTAAATAAAATAAATAAAAGATTAAGAATAAAACACATCCAAAGGGATTGATCTGCAAGACATACTTGTTGCATGAGATAATTACTTTCTATTCTTAATATTTCAGGCAAACTTACATGCCTTCACGAGAAGAATTATCTATATTTAAAAGATCAGGGAACTATTAGGTAGCCATGATACACGCTACCACAACGATAAAGATCTTCGAGCTTCTACTGAACTGTGATGGAGTGCAATAATTGACAAAGTAATATTTAAAGTAATAAAAATTTTCTCAATTATTAGTCGGAATGCTATACCAATTAACTCAAACATACAAATAACAATGATTTAATCAGGTTATTTACCGATAGTTTGAAAATAGAGGATCGCTCTCAAATTAGCAAGAAGATCGAAGAACTTCTAGCATGGTACAAATTATATGTAAATTAAAGTAACTGTTCAATTCGCTGGTACATAATATAAGTTTCGCGTTCAAAATAAAACTAATTATACTTTGAAACTTCTTCTAGGTTTGTAATATAAGCAACATAATCACGGACCAGGGCTTATTAGATCTTGCTTGGGAGCTTAGTCATACTGTCAAGATATGACAAATATTTGATGTGAACGGTTGCAGATTTCTCATCAATTCCTAATATGAAGGGAAGCAAGCTTATAATTTTGGTGTTATAGATGGTGAGATCATCTATTAAGACATACTTAAAGAAGTAGTTCGGTTGCAATATATGAGTTATGTTGACCAAATCGTCTACATGTTCAAGTGTGAGTGATTTGACCCTATTTATAATCGAGGAACACGAACACTAAGCTCGTATTATCGAAGTTAAAATGAGCAGAAAATATACGAAGTTCGATTCATTTATTCTAAGACGTTAAGCTAGTCAGGTTTATTAACTTCGATACCCGAGTAGAGTTGGCGAGAAAGTTAATTGAGTTATTGTTATGTAGAATAAACCCAGAAAAAAGCTACTAAGATACAAAATATTATTGAACTCGTTCTCCAAGGGTTAGAAATGTTAAATTTTTTTATTTAGCTAGATTCAAACGAAGACGTGTTTTCCATAGAGGATATCACAGGGATTCACGAAGAAGTTCTTTAAAATATGGATGACAATTGATGCGTGCTAGAAAATTCGCGGCGGTAGAGTAATGGATTATCGTCTTAGCGTTGCACGAAAATTCAGCACACACTCAGATGAAAGTGAATCAAGCTATGATCACACCAGAAATTTTTACGTGGAAAACCCGTAAAAAGGGAAAAACCACGGGGCCTTGCCCAGTTGTAAAAATCCACTATAAGATGATGATTACAGATGCCCCTTGTCCCACAGGCGGGAAAGGGTTACTAGCTTTCC